CAATGGGCAGCCGAGGTGGGGGTCCTCGCTCACCCCGCTGGCCAATGGGGAAGGAGTGGCTTTGGCCGAGGTCCCCATCCAGTAGCCGCAGGCTCCGGGGTGGCCGCGGGTCCGAGACCCCGGTGCTAAAGGGGACTTGGGAGAGGAGTTCGCGCACCGTCCCTGTGCCACCCGCGGACCCTCTGAGCGCAGCCCGGTCCTCACCTGCTGGAAGCGCGGTTTGCCCAGCTGGAAAGGAGGTGCATCGGTCGAGGAGCCAGCGGCACTTGCCGCCGCCGCCGCCGATGCTGTGGTCGCAGTATCCGCCATGGCCACTGACGCCCGCAATCCCCGGCCCTTTTAAAATGTCCCTCCTCGGCCCCCGCCACAGCTACCTCTCCGGATTGGCCATGAGCAACCGCAGCGAGTCGGAGGCGCAGAGTGTTGTGGGGAGTGTAGTTTTTCTTGCCAAGACGCTGGACAGCCCTCGACTGCGGAGTTGCGCCCACGCAGACCGGGATTGGGTTCCCGCTGCCAGTTTGCAGACCCTGCGAGTGTGCGTGTCTCAGGTCCCCGCCAAGGGGAGCACGGAGCGACCCCTCCCGGTCCCCTGCCCCGGGAAGTTTGAGTTGCTGCGGGGGGCGTCACTCCCAGAGCGCACGGGACCCCGGACCTGATGGGCCAGGACTGGAGGCGGATTAGGGTTACTCTCCGAAGGATTTCTGCAGGAGTTGCACTGCGGAATACTCCTGCAGTCTGTCCCACCTGCCTCCTGCCTTGTGCTCTGTAGCCACCCTGATAGTCGGTTCCTGGGGCATGCTGTGTGCTCCCCGCCCACCCTGGAACATTCTGTACCTAGAAAACTATTAACTGTTTGTCTTCGCCTGAGGCTGGCCCTCTTTATGGACTCAATGCAAACATTGTGTTTCCCAATCCATGTCCCTACTTCTACAAAACCCACTATAACCCAACGCTTCTTTTGCAGCCCTTGCATTTATAATTGTTTTGAGTGTCTTGTCTTTCCTACTGTAAGGTCCACAGGGCCATTGTGACTTTTTGATTCACTGCCAAGTCCATGGTGCCAGACATGGGAGAGCTCACAGTAGGGACTCAAATACAGGGTGTCCCCCAAAATGTACACACTACTAAAAGCTGATAGCTCAGTTGATGTTTCTTTTCGATTTAACCCATTGGAATTAATATTCAAAGTGTGTATACATCTTGGGGGAACACCCTATAGTTGTTGGCTGAGTTAAATGCACAGGAGGTCTTAGGAGCCTTAGCAGCCTCCACTTCCTTTTGCCAAGGAAGATCCCTCCTGTGGCTAATTCCTAGGCAGGAGGAGAGCTGGGAGTGGCCAGTGGGGTTCAGGGGGGTTATGGAGCACTACAAGGACTTTAGGGAGGGGGGTAAAGCAAGGCACCAGCAGGGATAATGAACACAAGGGGGAGGGGGAGGGGAAGCTGCCTGTTTCACACAGAGTACAGTAGAAATATTTAGTCTGACCCTAGGGAACCCCACTTTGGATCTCCTTAGTCTTGTGGTGAGGTGCAGGGTTGGCTCATGCCTTCCCATGTGTTTCTTAACAATGTATGATCCATAGCTGTCAGTTTATCCTTCAATAGTTGAACCACAAGACACAGACGTTCCTGAAAGCTGGAAATTCCAGCTAGCCCTGAAGAACCATTTGTACCTTGGATTTGTAGCTTACCTTTCCCGACAAGGCTAAATGGTTTGAGAACAGGAATCAAGTCTTTTATCCTCTGTATCCCCCAAGTCTTCAATAACTGTATCCTGGGAGTGAGAAAGGACTGAGTCCGGGCCGCTGGGCAATGCTGTGCCGCTGCCTTGATGTTAGGGCAGTGACAGTGTTACCCAAGAAGGCCATCACCTGCCTTCCCCAGGAAGCCTGCTCCACATGCTCATCAAACCAGGAACACAACAGAGCCACTTGCAGTCTGTGAACTTTTTATTCTTCATAAAGTGCTCGAAACATGAAGAGCAAGGTCTTTATAAACAGGAGTTACAACTAGGAAGACAAACGGCAAAGCAGAACTGTGCCTGCTCCCTGCCCACCCCACCTGCAGCCCTCTTCCAACTCATGGCCAGGAGCAGAAACATCCAACAAGAACCTGGGCTTCAACTCCAAACTTCCAGAGACATCCCTGGCCTGGGCTTTCTGGAAGTTCACAAAGATGCGTGGAAGGTCAGCCTCAGGGCTGGGACTGACTAGAGCCCAGAGGAATACCTAGTGCAGGAGTGACCCTCTTCCCCCAGAAGAGATACCTTGGATATCCAACATCCAATGACCCCCCAAAAGCAGGACCAAAGTCCGAGGTACCTGTGGACACTTTCCTCCTCCTCAATGAGTGTCTTTAAGGTAGATAATGTTAAGGGGCTTTCCCCCATATGTGGGCTCCTCTGCTTTGTCCTGGCGGAAGACATCCCCCATAGAGCAAATCTCCTTCCGAGGCTTTCTGAGCGATCCCAGAGAGTGACCCCACAGGCCAGCTCAAGAAAAAGAGGGATCCCCGAGGAGCCCTTACCTCCTTATTGGGTCCAAACTTGCCTCCTTCAGCACCTCCTCACCCCACAACTTCGCTAAGGCAGGGTGCCCCAAGCCACCAAAGGTCCCCTGCAGATGCCATAGGGAAGCCTGCTGTTTTCTGCAAGCAAACCAGCGCTGGGCCAAAGGGCAGACACTTCGTTCAAAGTGCACTGCAGCCAAGCCAGTCAAGGCTACGGGGAAGGGACAGGCTGGGACAGCAGGTAGAGGACAGATGGGAAGGCTTTTTCCTAAGTATAGGCAGAGTGGACCTCCCACTTCCAGAATGTAGTTTGTTTGTTTTTCCCCCGGGACCCCTCTCTATTGGTGTTGAGGGAATAAGAGAAGACAGCAGGTAGGTAAAGGGGGTAGCAGCAGGTTGGCCGGACCCTTCACTGAAATTAACTCTAGGGGAAGGCAGAGCAGCAACAGGGCTGACCCCCATCCATTTCCGTTCCTAGCATCCTACCAGATCCAGCCCCTTGTGCTCAACAGGGAGGGAGAGGGGCGCCAAACAGAGGGCGGGGTCTACATCCAGAAGCCCCTGACCCCACCACAAAAGGCACGTTTTAATCAGTTTCCAAAAGTTCATATCCTGTAGCAGCACAGAGTTTTGGCATCTGGACAGGCAACGAGAATAGGGATGGAGGCTTGATCCCCAAACAAACAGCCCAAAGCCCCAAGGCCTGGAGGGGCCCACACCTTGGAGGTGGTCTCTCCATACCTGCCTGGGCTCTCCACACCTTCACACATGACACTCATGGACAGGTGAAGAGGAGGGCAGGGAGTGGCCTGAAGAATGCACATTATCTCCTTCTATCCACACCACGTCCGCTTCTCAAACAGCTGGACACACACAGACTCAGGACATGGCAGACAGGACATCAGACCAGCGGTGGCCAACAGGTGGTCCGCGGGCCCCTGGTGGTCCGTGAGGTCCAAAAGGTTGGCGACCACTGCACTAGACCATACAGGCTCCTTGTTCTCAGAGAACGACTTGAGGCTGAAGAGCAGGTGCCTGGTTGCCCATAACTCACAGACAAATCGGCAGCTTGGTCCCTGCCACAGCCCTAGGAATACCAGGAGCCCTCCAGGGGCTGGAGGAAGATGAAGAGGGAAAGCGTTTAGCTGTGGGAAAAATGGCTGACCATCCCTGTGGGGTAATAAAGTATGTCCCAGATACCACATCAAATTGCAGCTCACCCCTGCTGTCTTGAGGGTTAAATTCTTTGTTCTAATTTCTGGAACCCCCAAAGCTAAGGGGTAGGAAAATAGGCAGGTGGGTGAGACCCACCTCTAATTGGAGTCCAAAGGCCCTCCTTCCAGCAGCCCCAGTTGAGGCAGGAGGGAGGGGGAGCCAGGGGTGACAACCGAGGACAGACTGCGCCTGCCCAGGGAGTGAGTTCAGCAGGTGGAGGGAGGATGTGAGCCCTGCTTGGGCAATGGGTCCACACCCACCCTCCTGGGGGGTGGGGGTGAGAGGGCTACTTTGGGGGGTCAGGGGGGATCTGCAGCAGGGTGGGCGAGGTCTCCATGATCCGCACCAGCAGCCGGTCAATGTAGCTCTCCAGCTCCTGCACATGCTCGTCCCGCTGGCTCAGCTCCCGCTCGCGCTGCAGGAGCAGGCCGATGAGTTCGTCGTGGGTCAGGTGGTAGTACTTGGCGGACTGGTCTAGCACACCAGAATCCTGAGGGCAGATGGAATGAGAGTGAGCAGGGCACCCTCAGGCCTAACTGCCTGCCTGGCCACCGACACCCCAGTTACACCACCACAGGCCCCGGAGCTGCCTCTGTCGCCAACGCCAGAAATGGCCTAACTGGCTTCAGGGCTCTGGCACGGGAGGCCAGGCCTGCTCCTTGCCGCACCCTGCCCAGCACCCTGTTTCTGAATTCCTCTCTCCCCAGCACCTCACGTCTGATTGACCCCCATGGCATCCTGCCAGGCCTCACCTTCAGCCTTTTGGTGTCCACAGTCTGGCCAGCCTGGGAGGCCGGCGCCACAGGCTGCACGCTGCCGGACGTGACTGTCTTGAGCTTCTCCAGCCCACTGCTCAGGGCGGTGCTCAGGCTGGAGCGGGGCTGCTTCCTGTCGGGGCTGCCCTCCACGGGGGCAGCACTGAGCGGCTTCACGGGGTGGGGACTGCGGAGACAGACAGGAGATGCGTTATGGGGAGGGACGGGCAGCACAAGGAGAAGGTAGGGCCACAGTTCTGCTGGACAGAGACCCACCACTGCTTCCTGTGGTGGCTGCCCCTACAAAGCAAGGCCTCAGGGCAGCTGTGCCCAACATTCCTCAGCACCCTGCCACCTGCCCCTCCCCATTTACTCCCTCAGATGGCCCTTCCCCTTCACCGGGACAGCAGAGGCCTCTCTCAGACTTCTCTGTGCCTGTACCGTCTTCGCCAGGGCTGCCCCCTCCTCCCATCTTCCCTCCATCCTCTTCTGTATTGTAACTTTTCTCTGGTTGGGGGAGAGGAGTGGGACCAACCCTCCCAGTTTCCCAATTTTCTCAGGACTGGGGATTCCCAGGAGGTGGGACTTGCCGTGCCAACCAGGAAAGAGCTGGGCAAACTGGGACACTAGGCTGCCCATGTCTCTTCCTTGGTTGCTTCCCCTCAGCATTTACACGGGTTTGTGTTTGCCTGGCTACCACCCTCAGTCACCCACCTCTTCCTCCTCACCCAGCCTCTCCAGAGCGTGTAGACCACATTCCGTCTAAGTTCCTACCTTCACTGACTCCTCAACCCAGAGAACAGGATGTGGGCCCCACCAGCCCATCACAAACGTTCCTGCTGAGACCCGGGTCTCTCTTTCCTGACCGCTCTGTGGCGTAGACTCTGGGACCACTCCTTCCTTTGGGCTGCTCTCCTCCCTCGTCCCCCCGCCCCCCATGCTCTTCTCTGCTTTTCCAACTTCTCAGTCTTAAATGTGAGTCTGCCGGGGGTTCTCTCCCCTCCACCTCCTCACAGCGGTCTCCAGCCTAGACCTCGGCCCCGAGTTCTAGACCCACGCAGACAGTTTCAGGCTGGCTTATCCACGTGGGGTCCACCCCAGGCATGTCACCCTCCCCTCCACGCCTGCCCTTTCCTGGGCTCCCCAGTGCTGAATGGCACCATCCGCCGCCCATGGCTCTAGTCAGAAACCTGGGACCTCCTCCGAATCCCCCGCTTTGGCTTTAGCCTTAACAAACATTAAGCCCTGCTACCTTCTCTCAAACCACCCCTCCTCGCCAGGCCAGGG